TCCTCCTCCTCCTCCTCCTCCTCCTCCTCCTTCTTCTTCTTCTTCATCGCAAAGCGCCAACACGGCAATTTAACCTGAATGCTGAGGTTTTACTTTAGAAAAAACAACTCATACATTAACTTAAGATGATCCAAACACAGTAAGGAAAGCCATCCCAAATGCTTTCATTTACTTAAAATTATTTGGCAGAGAATTCGACACTTTAATGATGGTCTGGGCCTGGCTGGGGTGATGGCACGCGTGCCCACAGAGAGGGCTCTGAGTGGCACCCCTGGCACCCATGCCATAGGTTCGCCACCACTGCTCTATGGGATAGATAAGCATCATTATCTGACAAGAGGCACGCAATCTTCCTGGCAGTCTTCAAACAGCGGCTGGACAAACACTGGCCAGGGGTGCTCTAGGCTGATCCTGCGTTGAGCTGGGGGGTTGGACTAGATGACCTCTGGGGACCCTTCCAGCTCTATGATTCTGTAAAGTTCACAGATGGCATTTTTCAGATGGTGCTAATGCATCCCTTAAAGGGGCAGGGTGGGAGGGCATAGTTGAAAGGTGGGGGGGGGGAGGATCAGAAGCCCTGGGTCTTGCTGTCCCTCAGGCTTGGAGTTCAGTGATTCTCGGCACAACAGCTGAAGAGGCAGGACGACAAACTGGAACGATTCAAGGGAGCTGCGGGGATAATAGAGGTTGAGGGGCGGCAAGATTAGAGATGTAAAATTTCCGTTTTTTCCCCGGTTTTTTTTTTGGGAAAAAACGGAAATTTTCGGAAAAATTGAAAAAAATGCTACATTAGCATTTCTTTTGTCTTTTCTAGATTGAAAGTCATTCTATTACTTTAGGAACATAAAATATGACTATGGACATTTTTACTTGGCATGAAATTATCACAACTAGCATATTAAAAATATAGTGTATCTAAACAATTATTACAAACAGAATACCCATCCACATGCAAAAACAAAACTGAAACTTTTTAATTTTCTTCTGACAATCGCACCTCCTAAAGGAAGAAATGCATCTTGTTCTTGTATTGGAGAGTTCAGTTTGTAACCTAGGACTTAATTGTCCTCAGTGCACAGAAATTAGATCAATCTGATACTCTGTGTGTGTGTGTGTGTGTGTGTGTGTGTGTGTGTGTGTATAAGAAATGATTTGGAAAATATTTGAACACCTTGTCTTAAAATATTTTATTCATCATGTTAAAATAGAATGTTCCATAATCAATTTTTTTTCTTTTCTTTTTTCAATTTTTCCAATTTTTCGGAAAAAAACCAAAAAGGCTTCAGGAAAAAACGGAAAAAAAACGTTTTTTTTCTGAATTTTTCCCTTTTTTTTCCGGGCCTTCACATCTCTAGGCAAGATAAGATTTTACTTTGAGCAAAGGAAGCTGGGACACGTTTGTCATTCTTAAAAGGATGTTTCAAAGGACCTTGGCTCGGTTCAGGGAACATCAAGCGAGGGCACTAAGATGAACAGACCTTTCGGACCATTAGTTTTACTCCTCCTCCTCCTCCTCCCCTCATGTGCAGAGAGTTAATCTATAAGTTCCATTTTCACAGCAGAACCTAGTTTAGTGTTTCATCCGAAGTCTCAAGCACTGGCCTGCAAATCTGGAGTCCGAATAATGGCATGTTCACAGGGATGTGAAGGCCTTGGGGAAAAGCTGGAAGAATTGGGGGAAAGCAGTCATCATCCCCCCCCCCGTCCCCCCCGCCGTCGACGTCTCAGTTTTCTTCAGTGGAAGAAACTGGAAATGTTTAGGGAGTTCTTTAAAAAAAACACCCACCAACCTATGAAATGTTTTTTCTCTTCTGTAATGACGAAGAAGAGTTGGGTTTTGTGCTTCGCTTTCCTCTACCTTAAGGAGTCTCAAAGCAGGTTACAATCAGCGCTCCCTCTAAGCTGTGGAATCTTGTGAGCAAAAATTCTACTTTGTGAGCTACTGGCGTTAAAGTGGTGAGCGAGCGATTGAACTGCTGCATAAATTAGTTTGCTCTGGAGCCACCCTTCCTGAGCCAAGACAAAAATGTGTGAGTTGGAGGCTGAAAAACTGTGGGCTAGCTCACACTAACTCAGCTTAGAGGGAACACTGGTTACAATCGCTTTCCCTTCCTCCACCTAGCTTGTTGTGAGGAAGGTGGGGCTGAGAGAGTTCTGAGAGAACCATGTGGGGCCCAAGGTCGCACCAGCAGGCTGCACGCGGAGGTGTGGGGAATCAAACCCAGCTCTCCATATTAGAGTCCTCCGCTCTTAATCACTACGCCATGCCGGCTGTCACGGCATGAGTGAAGTGCCTTTTAAAAGAAGTGTTTGCTTCCTCAAAATGTGTAGGGTTTTCTATAAGATGGACCCACAGCAGTTGAGAAAGATCTCTCCAAATTGGGGAAGAGGGCTAAACGCAGGTGCTGCTTTTAAGAGATTTCCACTTTGGAGTCAAGCTAGCAAGGGCTGGTTTTTCTACATATAGGCAAAGAATTGCAGAATGTTAGTTGCTGTAGATTTTCCGGGTTGTGTGGCCATGGTCTTGGCATTGCAGAACCTGACGTTTCGCCAGTAGCTGTGACTGGCATCCTCAGAGGTATAACACAGACGGATGGAGTACTCTCTGTGGCACGGTGAGAAGGAAAATGGTAGGCAGGTAATTTATATCTACTCCAGAAGGTGGGGTAGGGCTGAGTCATTATCTCGTAGGAGTTCCCCAGGCTGTGAACATGCTAATGGAGGAGCTTTCCTGAGGAGGTTCTTTTGTATATGGATTTGTTTCCTGAGGAGGTTCTTTTGTATGTGGATTGGCTGTTGAATGCATGTGACGTGTCCATTTTTGCACGCGTAAAAGAGACGTGTGAATAATCGCCTCACCTGAATATGCATCATGGATCTCGAACCTAACTTATGTCTTTAATGTTACACATTTCCCTCACGTGCCTGTTTCTGCAGCAGTTGCTTCAAACGGCTTAAGTTAAGACCTTTCTCTAAGAGGCCTGCTTCTCATGCTTCCAGGTCGGCAGATCAACGGAGAGCCCGATAGACTTTGTCGTCACCGATACGATTTCCGGCAGCCAAAACAGCGATGAGACGCAGATCACCCAAAGCACGATCTCCAGGTTTGCCTGCCGAATCGTCTGCGATAGGAACGCGCCATACACAGCCAGAATCTTCGCGGCAGGGTTTGACTCTTCGAAAAACATATTCCTCGGGGTATGTACGTGACCCTTCCACTACCAACTGGGGAGCAATGTGTGTGACGTACGACAGGGGCCGCGTTATAGAATTATTATGTGTCCCAGGATTATGGTTGATTGCCTGTGTTCAATCTGGGATATTAGAGGAGGGCAGGGAGCTGTTTCTGTTGGCAGCGGAGGAGAGGACTTGCAAGAAGGGGTTTAAGTTAAGGGCGGCAAGGTCCTAGCTGGATCTCAGGAGAGACTTTTCGATAGTCAGAGTTGTGCCACAGTGGAATGGGCTGCCCGGGGAGGTGGTAAGCTCCCCCTCCCTGGCAGTCTTCAAGCAGCGGCTGGACAAACACTGGTCAGGGATGCTCCAGGCTGATCTTGAACTGAGCAGGGGGTTGGACTAGATGGCCTTTTTGGCCCCTCCCAACTCTGTGAGTCTATATTTTTTCAGGGGGCTTTAATGTGAGATGGCTCTGTGGTAGAAATTGGAGGCTAACAAAATAAGGACCTAAGTGTAAGCTGTAGCTGAGGCGTTAGTGTCAGATTATTCCCCCCCCCCCTCCAATTTACACATGCAGTAGGTACCACTTCGGTGGGAAGGTCACAGCGTTCCGTGCGCCTTGGTGTTTAGTCATGCCGGCCACATGACCACGGAAACGTCTTCGGACAGCGCTGGCTCTTCGGCTTTGAAACGGAGATGAGCACCGCAACCCTAGAGTCGGACTCGACTGGCTTTCGAGCGAGGGAACCTTTACCTTTACTTTTTCGTTACCACAAGCAGGCATACAGAGAAGTCTTAAAAGAAGCCATTTCTGTGGGGAGGTGCTGTGGCTCAGTGGTGGGGCCTCCGTTTGGCAGGCAGAAGGTTCCAGGTTCAATCCCCGGCATCTCCAGTTAAAAGGGCCAGGCAGGAGGTGATGGGAAAGACCTCAGCTTGAGACCCTGGAGAGCTGCTGCCAGTCTGAGTAGACAACACTGACTCTGATGGACCAGTAGTGTGATAAGACAGCTTTATGTGCTTTCTGAATATTACTGAATATTACTTTGAAGAGGGCTCAGTGGCAGAGCCTCTGCTTGGCATGCAGAAGGTCCCAGGTTCAATCCCTGGCATCTCCAGTAAAAAGGACTGGGCAGTAGATGATGCAAAAGACCTCTGCCTGAGACCCTGGAGAGCCATGAAGTGGGGCTGTAGGTCAGTGGTAGAGCCTCTGCTTGGCATGCAGAAGGTCCCATGTTCAATCCCCGGCATCTCCAGTTGAAAGGACCAGGCAGGAGGTGATGAGAAAGACCTCTGCCTGAGACCCTGAAGAGGGCTGTTAGTCTGAGTAGGCAATACTGACTTTGATGGATTGATGGTAGGATTCAGTATAAGGCAGCTGTATGTGTGTGTGTGTTTGTGTGTGTAATATAGCATATCCATGGAAAAGTGACTTATGAGGGGTGGGAGAGATGACAGTTGACCAGTGCTTAAATGACTAAAATTGGAGACTCCTAAGCGACACTTGCCTGCAAATCATTCCCTCCAACTTTGAAATTACCCGTCATAGAGAGAAGAGAAGAGACTGTATTTAGACCACGCCCTTCACTCCCCGAAGGAGTCTTGGAGTGGATTACAATCTCCTTTCCCTCCCCACAGACACCCTGTGAGGTAGGCGGGGCTGAGAGAGGACTGCTCCTGAGAGAACAGCTCTGAGAGAACTGTGACTGACCCAAGGTCATACCAGCAGCTGCGTGTGGAGGAGTGGGGACCCGGTTCTCCCAGATTAGAGTCTGCACTCCTAACCACGGCACCAAACTGGCTCTCGTGTCGTTACTGTGTAGTGATGGATAAGCTACCTACCCACTTCTGGATTGCACCCTGGAGGAATGTAATGACATTGGTGATGTCACATGGCCCTCCCGGATTCCGGCCCCCCAACCCCCCCCCCTCTGGACGCCAGGCGTGGCCTGTCAACCCTATTTATTTATTTATGTATTTATTTATAAGTATTTTTACCCCGCCCTACCCCGCAAGCGGGCTCAGGGCGGCTTACAAGGGGCATAAGCCCATACATAAAAACCAGTAAAACCATAACTTTTATAACAACAGTACAATTGGCTGGACAAACACTGGTCAGGGATGCTCCAGGCTGATCTTGAACTGAGCAGGGGGTTGGACTAGATGGCCTTTTTGGCCCCTCCCAACTCTGTGAGTCTATATTTTTTCAGGGGGGTTTAATGTGAGATGGCTCTGTGGTAGAAATTGGAGGCTAACAAAATAAGGACCTAAGTGTAAGCTGTAGCTGAGGCGTTAGTGTCAGATTATTCCCCCCCCCCCTCCAATTTACACATGCAGTAGGTACCACTTCGGTGGGAAGGTCACAGCGTTCCGTGCGCCTTGGTGTTTAGTCATGCCGGCCACATGACCACGGAAACGTCTTCGGACAGCGCTGGCTCTTCGGCTTTGAAACGGAGATGAGCACCGCAACCCTAGAGTCGGACTCGACTGGCTTTCGAGCGAGGGAACCTTTACCTTTACTTTTTCGTTACCACAAGCAGGCATACAGAGAAGTCTTAAAAGAAGCCATTTCTGTGGGGAGGTGCTGTGGCTCAGTGGTGGGGCCTCCGTTTGGCAGGCAGAAGGTTCCAGGTTCAATCCCCGGCATCTCCAGTTAAAAGGGCCAGGCAGGAGGTGATGGGAAAGACCTCAGCTTGAGACCCTGGAGAGCTGCTGCCAGTCTGAGTAGACAACACTGACTCTGATGGACCAGTAGTGTGATAAGACAGCTTTATGTGCTTTCTGAATATTACTGAATATTACTTTGAAGAGGGCTCAGTGGCAGAGCCTCTGCTTGGCATGCAGAAGGTCCCAGGTTCAATCCCTGGCATCTCCAGTAAAAAGGACTGGGCAGTAGATGATGCAAAAGACCTCTGCCTGAGACCCTGGAGAGCCATGAAGTGGGGCTGTAGGTCAGTGGTAGAGCCTCTGCTTGGCATGCAGAAGGTCCCATGTTCAATCCCCGGCATCTCCAGTTGAAAGGACCAGGCAGGAGGTGATGAGAAAGACCTCTGCCTGAGACCCTGAAGAGGGCTGTTAGTCTGAGTAGGCAATACTGACTTTGATGGATTGATGGTAGGATTCAGTATAAGGCAGCTGTATGTGTGTGTGTGTTTGTGTGTGTAATATAGCATATCCATGGAAAAGTGACTTATGAGGGGTGGGAGAGATGACAGTTGACCAGTGCTTAAATGACTAAAATTGGAGACTCCTAAGCGACACTTGCCTGCAAATCATTCCCTCCAACTTTGAAATTACCCTTCAAAGAGAGAAGAGAAGAGACTGGATTTAGACCACGCCCTTCACTCCCCGAAGGAGTCTTGGAGTGGATTACAATCTCCTTTCCCTCCCCACAGACACCCTGTGAGGTAGGCGGGGCTGAGAGAGGACTGCTCCTGAGAGAACAGCTCTGAGAGAACTGTGACTGACCCAAGGTCATACCAGCAGCTGCGTGTGGAGGAGTGGGGACCCGGTTCTCCCAGATTAGAGTCTGCACTCCTAACCACGGCACCAAACTGGCTCTCGTGTCGTTACTGTGTAGTGATGGATAAGCTACCTACCCACTTCTGGATTGCACCCTGGAGGAATGTAATGACATTGGTGATGTCACATGGCCCTCCCGGATTCCGGCCCCCCAACCCCCCCCCCTCTGGACGCCAGGCGTGGCCTGTCAACCCTATTTATTTATTTATGTATTTATTTATAAGTATTTTTACCCCGCCCTACCCCGCAAGCGGGCTCAGGGCGGCTTACAAGGGGCATAAGCCCATACATAAAAACCAGTAAAACCATAACTTTTATAACAACAGTACAATTCAACAATAAACAATAAAGTGCTTCAGTTTGGCAAGATGGTCTTAGTTGTTCTTATGATGACTTCCAGCAGCCCTCAGTTTGGGGTATCGCTGTCTACCAGAAAGTCCGAACCCATCCGTTGTTCTTATTGCCAGGTAGATCTTATACCTCCAGATTATTCGGGGCTGTCCAGACCCTGATGGTATTACCACCGTTGGTAGTGGTGGCAGTAGCGGCGGTCCCTACATATAAGCCTGGTGGAAGAGCTCCGTCTTGCAGGCCCTGCGGAACTGCATAAAGTCCCGCAGGGCCCTGATCTCTTCCGGGAGCTCATTCCACCAGGCAGGGGCCGCCACTGAAAAAGATCTGGCCCTCGTCACAGCCAACTTCACCTCTCGGGGACCCGGAACCACTAGTCGGTTCTGGGTCTCCGACCGAAGTGCTCTTGGGGGTATGTATGGGGAAAGGCGGTCCCTCAGGTAGGTCGGACCCAGGCCATATAGGGCTTTATAGGTAAGTACCAGCACTTTAAAGCGGACTCGGTATGCTATAGGCAGCCAGTGCAGCGCCTTCAACCTACAGAATAACATAGCAAGCAAGAGCCGCTCTTTCTTTGGGAAACTAACTTGCGCGGTTTGGAGCTTGGCCATTAGTCCTCACTTGACTTTTCCAGCATTACAAAGCTAACATTTTTTTGGTGTGGGTTTTCTGCTCTGCTCTCGCGTCTAGGAAAAAGCAGCCAAGTGGAAGAATCCAGACGGGCACATGGACGGATTAACGACCAATGGCGTTCTAGTCATGCATCCAAGAGGGGGATTCACCGAAGAGTCGAAACCCGGAGTCTGGCGGGAAATTTCCGTCTGCGGCGACGTGTACACGCTCCGTGAAACGAGATCGGCTCAGCAAAGAGGCAAGCTAGTAAGTTGGGAAATTCCTTGTAAATAAAAGGGAGGGGGGAAACCCTATCTTGTACCAAAAATTTTTTAGTGTCTTCCTTGTATACTTAGGCAGATAATGCTACTTTGCTTTCTTCCTGACCTCCCTCAGGTTTCTGTGATGGATGGTTCTGATGATGTCTGGAGTTTAACTTTGTGGTTGCATTTAAACCCTAACTTGTCGTCGAAGAATTGCCTGCCAAAGTGTCATGAAGTTTCAGAAAAGGGATAGAAAGGCCGCATTGCTGAGGCAGGGGAAAGAGAGCACATGGTGTAGTTTGTCCATGGTCACAGCCCAGTCAACAGAAAGTAGATAGGGATGTGAGCGGAACCAAGGAAAGCTCGGAAAACATTTCACCCATGAACGAACACAACTCAGATTCTATTACTAGAAGAAGACTCGGGTAAAAGTGGTTCCCGAAGAACCACACCACCACCACCCCAGGAAAACCACACGGCAAATGGTTTTTCAGGGCAAACGGAAGAGGGATAAAAACCGAAGCCGCGTGGAGCCAGAACGGATGCAGTGATGTAATGTGGAAAAAACCCCACTGTGCCATTTGGTTCAGGGGTCCCCCAGTGTGGTGCCCGCCACATGTTTTTAGCAAAGGGGGCAGAACCAGTAAGGACTTTTGCCCAGCAAGACCTCCGATTGGCCATTGGAGATTTGATTGGCAGTGGCCCCGGTCACACGGGCTGGAAAATGCGGGGGGGGGGGGGGCATGGTGCTGGCTATTTGCCCCGGGGCAAACTAACGCGTGACTGCGAGATCAGACGTCCGGTTGAGGTCCTGTCGAGGTCCCGTGGCTAGGGGGGAGGTGCCGATCACACCACAGGCAAAGAAGCAGGGCGGCGCGGCAAACGGGGTTGTGTTTTGGTTTTTTTACTTTTTTAAAAAACTGAAGTGTGCGCATGCTCCGTTGGGTGCTTGTGCGCATCCGTTGAGCCTTGGGGGGGAAAATGACCTGTTTGCGAGGGGACATGGGCGGGCGCTGGATGCCACCGGAAACACGATCAGACGCCCGCCCTTGCCCCGCGGTTTCCGGAAATTAGTACCTCCGAGGTACTAGTTTTTTGCTGCGCATCTTCAGAGGGAAGCCTCGGTTGAGCCACGGGAGCTCTACGCTTCCCAGATGTGACGGTGAGATCACGCCCGGAAAATCCGCCTATCTTCCGTCTCTCTAGCATGGCTACTGTTCTGTGTGACCGCAGCCAGTGTAGGTTTTTTAAAAAAATATTGCTTCGGCGGCAGCTGCCACCACGGCAGAAGGGTCCTCACTGCGTGACTGCAAGCAAGCTGCAGTAGCTATTTTATGGCTTGCTCTGCCAACCTGGGCAGCCGTTTTGTGGCTGTGCCCACCGTGCCATATCAGAATTTCAGAGGTACCCACAGGCTCAGTTTGGGACCAGTGTTCCCTCTAAGCTGAGTGACTGTGAGCCAGCTCCCAGTTTTTGAGCCTCCGGCTCACACATTTTTGCCTTCGCTCAGGAAGGAAGGCTCCAGAGCAAACTAATTTCTGCAGCAGCCAAATCGCTGGCTCACAACTTTAATGACAGTAGCTCACAAAGTAGAATTTTTGCTCACAGGACTCCACAGCTTAGAGGGAGCATGGGTTCGGACCCCCCTAATTTAGATGAACAGGAGGCTCATGGGGGGCTCTTTTTGTAGCAGGTACTCATTTGCATATTAGGCGACACACCCCTAATGTAGCCAATCCTCCAAGAGCTTACAGTAGCCCCTGTAAGAAGAGCTCTGTAAGCTCTTGGAGGATTGGCTACATTAGGGGGTGTGTGGCCTAATATGCAAAGGAGTTCCTGCTACAAAAAGAGCCTGGGATGACAGATCTGTTGCATTGGCGGGGAGAAGGGCAACTGGACGGAATTGGCTCCCCAATCTAATACTCTCCCCTTGCCCCTTTTAAAGGTGGAAAACGAAACCAACGTCCTGCAGGACGGCTCCCTCGTCGACCTGTGCGGCGCCACCCTCCTGTGGCGGACGGCGGACGGCCTGTTCCACACGCCCACTCAGAAACACATTGAGGCCCTGCGGCAAGAGATCAACGCCGCGCGGCCCCAGTGCCCCGTGGGGCTGAACACGCTGGCCTTCCCCAGCATCAACCGCAAAGAAGTGGTGGAAGAAAAGCAGCCCTGGGCTTACCTCAGCTGCGGCCACGTCCACGGCTACCACAACTGGGGCCACCGCAGCGACACGGAAGCCAACGAGCGCGAGTGCCCCATGTGCAGAACCGTCGGCCCCTACGTGCCTCTCTGGCTCGGCTGCGAGGCGGGCTTCTACGTCGACGCCGGCCCCCCGACTTACGCTTTCACTCCTTGCGGGCACGTGTGCTCGGAGAAGTCTGCCAAATACTGGTCCCAGATCCCGCTGCCCCACGGGACTCACGCGTTCCACGCCGCCTGCCCTTTCTGCGCTACCCAGCTCTCCGGAGAGCAGAACTGCGTCAAGCTCATTTTTCAGGGTCCGATCGACTGATGCCGTCTGGCAGACGACTTACCGACAAAAGCTCACTTTTGTTAACAATTTACTGTGAAGATTAAGAAATTTGCCACTAACGCTAGATTTTACCTTTTTTATAGGATTGTTATTAATGAGGGACTGGGAGGGTGGCAACCGGGGGGGGGGGACATGGAGTGTTGGAGGCACACCAATACCTGGAACCAAACCGATATCGGTGGCACCCCCATGTTCAGTAGAGGCATGTTCACAATGACATCGCCTCGGTCAAATTGTAGTATATTTGTAATATTTTTTTCTTAGTACCCTCGATCAGGAGAAGGGGGGAAAATACCGATGTCTTAAACGATTTTTTAAATCTTGGGTTTTTTAACAGAAACGCTTTTCTTCTAAACTTTGACAAGCCTTTAAGACGCATATTTTTTCAAACCTAAAAAAGGAACGTACAGAATGTAATTTGTCTCTTTTTTCTTCTTCTTCTTCTTAATTTGCAATATAATTAACTTGAAGAGCTTTCTCATGGAGGGTGTACCCAAATGTGAGGGCAAACCTGGCTGAATGTTCTGTTAAATACTTGTGTTTCAGAGAAGCTGCGAGTGAGAAAGGGTCGGCTTTGGGAACAAGAGCACAACAAAAAACAAACAAACTAGGAAACCCTGCCGCGCGGTCTAATGCGGCTGCGCAAACAAAAAGACACAAAATTACTTGAAATTTGGGGCATTGTCGTCTGTGGGCCACTTCCAGTGTTATGTTCATGTGGCGCCAAAGTTACCCTTGCATGTCACTCCGGTTTTTAAAAATATACAAGAAGGGTTAAAAAATACGGGTTATCTGGTCTCGCAGATGCGCAGGACGTGTTCTTTGGTGTACGAAACGGTAGTTCACGAGTTTTGCTTGTGAGATTTCCTGAAGCGGCTCCGCTGTCCACCTTCTCCCTGCCTTTTTGCCGACTCCACACATCGCAGAATCGATCCTGGAAAGCCCAGTATTTGGGCCTCTTCGTTGCTAACTTTAGACCCCTTAATATGTTAACTGCTGGTGGTGTAGGAGCGGTTCTTCTGTGGCTTTACCCCAGGCCTCTGCAGTGTGCTAGAAAAGCCAGAACCTTAGGCACAGGAGCCGATGGAGCCGAGTCTATCCCCGCTCATGTGGTTCCCTTGTAGCAATGTGAAGGCCCGGAAAAAAACCCGGAAAAAATTGGGGTGGGGAAACTGGGTTTTCCCCATTTTTTTTTCTGAAGCCTTTTTTTGTTTTTTTCCGAAAAATTGGAAAAATTGAAAAAAGAAAAGGGGAAAAAATTGATTATGGAACGTTTTATTTTAACATGATGAATAAAATATTTTATGACAAGGTATTCAAATATTTTCCAAATCATTCCTAAAAAAGATGTATGGTATCAGATTGATCTAATTTCTGTGCACTGAGGACAAGCAAGTCCTAGGTTACAAACTGAACTCTCCAATGCAAGAACAAGATGCATTTCTTCCTTTAGGAGGTGCTATTGTCACGAGAAGAGAAAAAGGTTTCGGTTTTGTTTTTGCATGTGGGTGGGTATTCTGTTTGTAATCGTTTGGATTCACCATATTTTTAATATGCTAGTTGTGATAATTTCATGCCAAGTAAAAATGTCCATAGTCATATTTTATGTTCCTAACGTAAAAGAATGACTTTCAATCTTGGGGGGGGGGGGAGTGCTAATGTAGCATTTTTTTTTCAATTTTTCCAAAAATTTCAGTTTTCCCCGAGCTTCAAAATTTCTGGAAATTTTACATCTCTATTCCATCACACCGTGTCCACAGAACAGCCGTTCCCACATCAGTGTGGCAGCATCTGAAGGATTCTCACATGTTGTGCAAAAGCATCTTTTAACTGAAATCCGGTGTCAGCAAGGCACCTGTCTGCATTTTCCAATTTCCATCTGGCGTTTTGAATTCCCTTTTACACGCATCCAGTCATCTTCAACAGTGTTCTCTCGCTTCCACCCCCCCCCATCTAGTTCTTCCTTTCAGCTTTCTCTCCACTTGGTGTAGTCGCACATATGTGCGATGGACCAGAGGGCAAATCGGAAATGTAGCAGTTCCTTTTATCAATCCAGTTATCCGGGTGGATGTGCTGCCAGGCGAGAGAGAAACGTCAGGTCTTCTCTCTGTCTCTGCAGAACGTATGTGCGTTGGCCTCGATCCTGTTGTCAGTTCAGGCCGCTCACAAGTCTTCTTCATCTGCGGGATTCCTAGTGACTCCTTGAATTTTCAGTATTTGGTAGCTGTTTTGGTCAGCTCGCTTCTGTGACATAAAAACTTCCACATGTCTGCATCCTTCCGTGGCCGTAAGGGTTTGTCAACTTCTCTCCCTCTTGTCGCCTTTTCTCACAGCCTGAGTAGAGTCCCGTAGTATTTTAAGTTTGTTCGTTCAACTATCAAATGTCACTATTAAACACCCAGGGGTAATTCCAGATTAGTTGGGGAGAGGGGGAAGGAGTCTTGCTGCTCAGTCTTCAAATTAGTACATCGGGGTTTGCGTGTACTTTAACTTTACCCTGTTAGTGTTTTTCATTGTGTTAGTGGCATTTTTTGATATGTTCTCTCTCTGTACGTGTGGTATCAAGAGGTATTTTTTCCCGGAGAAGGGGTGTCAGGGAAAGACCCCTTGGCGAGGAATCTTATCTCCCAACGGCGCTGACCCCAACAGCAGGGGTCTCTTTTTTGTCTGCTCATTTTCACAGCCGTTCCTACTATCTTTGTGCCCTTTGTATAAATATATAATTTATATGATTTTAATATATTGTGTATATACCGGAATCGGCCTGTTCATATTTTGGATGTAATATTGTTTTATAGTTAACCTTTTAAACATTTTAAAAAAAGGAAATGTCCACCGCCCGTTTGAGCGGTGGGGCATGGCGTTTTTATCTGCTGCTGTTTAATACGATTTTGCTGTATAAAAAAAAAATCAGCATTTTAAATTGAAATGCCTTTTACTCCAATGTCTTTTTGCTTCGAAAGGTTTCCCTGGCTCCGCAGTGTTTTGCATCCAGGTTCCGTCCTCTGTAGCTGATCTTATCCCTCACCAGGTTGGGGAATGGGGTTGGATAGTTTTCGAAACACTTCTTCCTAGCGCCTTTTTAAAACGAGGCTGCTCTTCGCCTTGGATTCCACCAGACAAACATGGAGCCCAAGTACCACTTATTTGGGGATCCCTATTTAAGGTACCCAAGACCCAGTTTGGTGTCACGGTTAAGAGCGCGGACTCTAACCTGGGAGAACCGGGTTTGATTCCCCACTCCTCCACCTGCAGCTGCTGGTGCAATCTTTATTCTCCAGCTCACACTTTTTTGGTCTTCACTCAGGGAGGATGGCTCCAGAGCAAACTAATTTATGCAGTGTTGGCCGAATTGCTTTTTATGTACAGCAATTGGCAATTTATAAATGGGTTCTAGCCATTTTATACCAAGGTCCTGATCCCACCGAGGGTTACCAGTAAAGGATTCGAGGCTGTTGTAGTTAAAATAGATTTCTTTTACTTAAAATATATCTCATACAAACAATACTGATGCACGCACACATTCAACCAAGTCCTAAGAGTTACAGTATGGAATAAGCACAGTTGCATTAGCCGGTAGGGGTGATGACGGGCAATACTTATCTGTCTTGAAGCTTGGTTGTTCCAATGAAGAGTGGATGGGAAGAAGTGGAAACAAAGGGAGCCCACACACGACCAGAACCAGCCGGAACGCGTGGGCAGTAGAGGCAAGGGTTGGGGATAGCAAGTGGGACTCAAGAGGGGTAAAAGGAGACAGGGGTCGTCTTGGGGAGAGTGCTAGCTAGGAGGAGTCAGGTGACTGGTTCTCTACTTTTATAGGGGGTCCAAGAGGTGGTAACTGTGCCATCCTCTTGACCCACCTATCTGTTAGTCCGTCCCAAAAACAATCCTATTGGTTGCAGGGAGGGAGAGAGGTTACCTAGGAGGGATGGTCAATATTGTAACCTAAAACCTTACTCGAGGTATGGCATCTGGACAGGTGTGAAATCCAGGCATCAGGATGCTTCATTGTCGTGCTGATGAAGTTGGCCAGTTCCATTGATAACCAAATGTCCATCTGGCAGGAAATTCCAGCTCAGGAACAAAGCAGTTGATGGGTGGTACGTGACCACAAGCAGCTTTGCCATGGGGGCTGTTTCTTCCTAGAGTTGTTGTTTCATTGCTCACAATAATGGAGGTTTGTGCTTCTTCACCAGGCTGGGCAACTGTGTAGCTGAAACCTTATTTACATGTAAGGTATGTGCAGGCACCCTCTATGTGTGGGATCACAACAGGTGACCTAAAGTGTACAGTTCTCTGAGCCTGTGTGTATGTGCACAGTCCATGTGTAGCAATAAGCAGTCCATAAAACAAATATCAGGCTTTGTTCCCTAACAGCAGTAGCCAAATTGCTCGCTCACAACTTCAGTGTCGGTAGCTCACAAAGTAGAATTTTTGCTCACAGCTTAGAGGGAGCATTGGTCAGTTCCCAACAGCTTTCATTCAAAGGAGTAAAGTTTATTGAGACATTGAGAGTATGCAGATATCTAGACCATTTCTGTGTTAGAACTGAAGCGAAGCGCGCGCAACAAGCAAATATACATCGTTCAAGGAGGCCCCTGATGACCCGGGACCAATCAGGTAAAAGCCCGCCAAAGTAACAGGCTACTTTTCCCAGGAGAAAGACTACACCAGGCACTGAAGGTCGTACAGAGATAATAGAAACATAGAAGACACAGCAGAAATGAAACTTAACATTCCAGAGTCACCCCCACTCCCATGGCAGCCAGAGCTTGAAAAAGGCCTAGCTGACAGTCAGTTACAAGTTCTGTCAGAGCTGTTCTCTCAAGGGCAGTTTCTGTCAGAGCGCTCTCTGCCCTGCCTACCTCACGGGGTGTCCGTTGTGGGGAGGGGAAGGGAAAGGAGATAGTAAGCCGCTCTGAGACTCCTTTGGGTAGTGAAGGGCGGGGGTATAAATCCAATCTCTTTTACCTCACAGGGTGTCTGTTTTGGGGAGGGGAAGGGGAAGGAGTTTGTGAACCGCTTTAAGACTCTGAGTGAAGGATGGGGTATAAATCCAATCTCCTCCACCTTTTTATGG